TTTGCAGTATGCCCCTCTGACGGCCAACTTACCCTGTCACACCCCTCTGACAACGATTGAATGAAATTTCCAAAAAACCCCTGGCGGTGTGGTTTGGGCCTGAAATATGTTCAACATGCCAGGTGACTTGGACCAGACAGCAGTTATAGGCACCAGGGCTAAGCAGATGTTGCACCGAGCCCTGGTTGAAGCATGATAGGGAGAGAGCCTTGTAAGTTGTCACTTTGACCCCAGGCTCAAGCAGTGTTGTCTTTCTATCGGCCCCACTTACTACAGTAACCCCTTGTTCGTTTCCTGGTGGTCATTGGCTGTCTTTTTATCATCTGGAGGAACCCAGGCCTCTGTTATCAGTTGGAGCGTAACCACGCCATCCTAACCAGTTCCGCATGGACTTYATCTAACAGTTCTCCCTACCAATTCTCCCTCATTTAACTGCCACGTCGTCAAAATGGACATTATTTATTTTTGAACAAAATTGAAACCGAGTCTTTTGGCCAAAAACAGGTCCAAATTTGCTTCTCCTGACGGTACGGCGTTCTTAAAATGCCCGACCCCCTGGATGTATCTGGTCTTAAGCTCAGTCCACATCAGTGCCGTAGCACCGGTCACTGGTCATGGGGTCTGTGAACGAGGGCTGGTCACCGGTCACGATTTTCGTGACCGGCACTCGTTGACAGAGTTGACGTTGAGCGGGAAGGTTTTTTTTTTTTTTTTCTGGCTGGGGGGAAAGGGGGGTTGTTTTATTTTTTATAGGAGGGTGGGGGACATAAGAGGTAAATCACCATAATTTTTTCAAAAAACAAAATTCAGGAATAATATTCTTTTTTTAATTAAAAACGAAAACAAAAATGCAGCCAGCCAAAATAAGGATTTTCGTTTGTTATTTTGTAGGTTATTTCGATTTTTTTATTTTTTTTTCAATGTCATCACGCTGTGGGGCTTGAGGCTACTGTAGCTGAGTGAGCTCCAAAAAAAAAAAGAAACACCACTCTTTCGTGGTCAGCCTGTTCACAGTACACCAAATGAACGGCCGGTCACGTTCAAGTGACCGGTGCCGGTCACGTTCAATTGACCGGTACCAGTCACGTTCACGGGTCCAGCACTGGTCCACATACATCCAGGCGGTCCAGCATTTTAAGAACGCTGCACCCTCAGGAGCCAAAATTTTGGACTTGTTTTCGGCCAAAAAACTCGGTTTCAATTTCGTTCAAAAAATAAAAAATGTCCATTTGACGAAATGGTAGTTATTTGTTCCTATCTTGGTCATCAACTAAACCTCTCTAGTCGCTGTAGTTCCGTGTAATTGGCAGCTTACCACGGGAAGGGACCCTAGCCTCTTTTTAGCAATTCGCTAATGGTGCGATCTAATTGACGGATCTCACCATTCTTTTCTTTTCCTTTTGGTGCACTCTTTAGACCCGCATAATGTTGTTCCTCCCCTAGGGTTGGCACTCATTTGGTCTCGGGATTTATGCTCATGATCCGCCTTGCTCACTCTTTGTTGTCTCCCTCTTGTATTCTTGACAGGCAGACCACTCTCGGGCTAAAGGAGGAGCGCGGAAGAAAGCGCAAGAGACTCGGAGAGAGAGAGAGAGAGAGAGAGAGAGAGAGAGAGAGAGAGAGAGAGAGAGAAGGAGAAAGAATTGCTGCATCTGCTGACATCATGTTGCCATTGGCAGCATGACGGGCGTCCTGTGTTCCCGCTGGAATTCAATATGGAGAACAGCCACATGGTTTCTCTCTCTCTAGTCAGTAGAAAAGGCACTCCCGCGCAACCATCAGGTTGGAATTCTATTTAGTTGACGTTGTGACTGGTGCCATTGTTCGCCCTCTCTCTCGCAAACTCGTTCTCTCTTTCTCTCTCTCTCTCTCTCTCTCTCTCTCTCTCTCTCTCTCTCTCTCTCTCTCTCTCTCTCTCTCTTCTTGTCTGGAGATTTTTCCACACCTGGATATGTTCTCCTACTGTAGACTAGTTCTCCTGTCGGAGGGAGGCTGGCCTACAGGGCAGCAGCAACGTCTCTTGCACATCAACTTTCTCTTCTTGTGCGGCGTTCTCCCTCCCCTACCTCCACTTCTTTTGTCTTCTATGCATGGTGACGTGAAGGATTGAAAGTCAGAAGCCGCCGACATTTCATCTTTTCTTTTTCCCAAGGGGGCGGGACCCACTACAGACGTTGTAAAGCGACTTGCTGGTGCTTTCAATCACGTGCGGCCTGTCGTGTCAGACACATACAGTCTGTGGATGGAGATATATCCATGGCCCGGCGCCCGCCTGTTTGTGAAACCATGAAGTTTCGTGGCTGGGGCGTCAACCAATAGGCCCGTGTTCTAGAAAGGCTTCGTACTTCTTTTGATTTTTTTATTCGAATTCCACTCTGTTCATCTATTCCATTTTTGTCCATTTTTGAGGTCGGGGGTGATTTTGCAAATTTGCAACGTTTCCTCTTTGCTTCCTCGCTTCTCTTTCCACGCATTAACCGGCGTAGCAATAGCACTACGGATGTGTGATTGCGTACTTTACCTCCATAACCTCCATACCCTCCATAATGTACTGCACGGGTGTGATGAAACACATCTGTGTGTTTTTGTCACTTTGACAGATGTCCACTCATTAGTCCACGCATTAACCGACGTAGCAATAGCACTACGGATGACAGTGTGTGATTGCGTACTCTACCTCCATAACCTCCATACCTTCCATAATGTACTGCACTGGTGTGATGAAACACATCTGTGTGTTTTTGTCAGTTTGACTGATGTCCACTCATGAGATCGGCAAAGCACAAGAATGACCTTCAGATGACACAGTCAGCCCATTGGCTGAACGAAGAACCCATCCTCAAAAACAGGCCACGAATTCGCTGCCTCGTTGCCTATTGGCTGACAGGAGAACCCAGAAAGTCCTTTAAAAGAGGTTTAAAAATCTGCAAAAATAGGGAAAACCATTTTTCTTTTCGTTCGAAAACAGCCACACAAATGTTGTACAACGCTGCTTGTGGGTCCCGACCCCAACTCGACAAACTTCCTTTTTTATTTAAACTCCATGATGCAACGCAACTGCTACAACAGATGGTCAGTCACAGACTGCCCCATTGCTGGAGCCTGGCGGCCTCTTCTAGTCTCCACATCTCTTTTTGCTTCTGCCCTCTCTCTGCACTGTGTGCCCTGATAGGGCAAAACATTGTGCATTATTTATCTTGTTCCTCTCTTCCCTGGACGGCGGATTAGATTCAAGTTCATTCACCACAATTTCAAGACACCCGTCTTCATCTCATGATGCGTCCTGAAGATGCTGGTGGATTTCACTTCTCCCTCTTAGTCATAACCCACCTCCGACCCCACTACCCGCGAAATATGAGCCTGAGGGCATACTCACACACTTCCACAGCTCCAACTGAATTGAGGACCTAGTTTAGGTCAGATAACCTGTGCCAGATGCATTCTGGATAGTCATTGAGTGTGGCTCTATTTTTGTTGACACAAGGTATTGGACTGTTGTTCCCCTCTGTGTAATTCTACTGTGTTTTTTTTTTTGGGGGGGGGGAGTTCGTCTTGGGGGAGATAATTGGTGAAATGCACCCAAGCGGAAACCTTTTTGGTTTTGGGTGCCCGACAAAACCCGGGGCAGTACTATGTGCCCAGGGAAAACGATCGTTTTTTTTTTTACCCCACGTAGAGCCCTACCTGGGTAGAAAAGCATCTGTGGGGCTAGTTTTTTCCTTTTTCTTCAAGTTTTCGTGTCTGAGACCACAGCCTACCCCTGTAGTTGTTATGACAGCCAGCCTGACAGGCTGCATTTTGAACTCTGCGTCTGTTTCTTTCTCGAGGCGTATTTTTTTGGTTCATTCTATACTTGAGAGTGACATCAACGTACTTGCCCTTTTAGAAAATCTCTCTCTCTCTCTCTCTCTCTCTCTCTCTCTCTCTCTCTCTCTCTCTCTCTCTCTCTCTCTCTCTCTCTCTCTCT